TATAGAATAAATGCATTTGATTAGTAAACCAAATTCAAACGTGACATTTTAATCTATAAAGGTAATGAATGGAATATATGGAAAAGCTCCACTAAATAATAGCGCTAATAAGTGAGGGGTGGGGCTTTGGCAATCGGCTTTACCTATGACCAGTCAATCTACTCCACAGCCAATCACGGGCCCCCTCCTTGTCTGGGCCCCGGGGCTTCACCCCCGCCTAGCCCAATGGTTAATGCGGCCCTGACTTCCACAGTCCACTCCATTCTCTCTCTCGCATTGATTACTCTGATCCAAACTGTTTGGCGGAGGCGTGGAGAGCGTGCGAGCCGAAGCATTGCCAGTCACGACTAACCGATTCATGATTTATTAGAAATTTAATTATCGAATGGCGAATTGGAATGGAAATCATCGCTTTAGTACATTCGGCAGGCAACTATACAATAGTAATATTAAAATAGCGGGCCAAATCGGCTGGCAGGCCACCGGAATGTCCTGGTTCTCCCGATGGCCAGTCCACGCCTGATTTCCACAGACACGCAGAATGTGCAGGATTCATATAGGCCTATTGTCTTTTTGCGGCTTAATATTCACAGACACTAGTTTTGATTCAAGTGACCTACTTTTGATTTATTCGTCCAAAATGTGGCATATTCCGTACGCCTTAAGCCCCGTTCACACTAGCAGCGACTTTTGTCGCTGCAAGTCGCCAGGGGCTGGCGATGAGGTTGCTAGTGGGCGTTCTCAATACTGGTTGCCTTGACAGCGAATCAGGTTTCTTGCCGCTAAGTACAAACATTTTGGAGGCAAAAGACTAAATATTATCTAAATATAAATTAAATCCGTACATACAAATAAAAATGAATGAGAAACAGAGCCTACTTTCTTCCATTGTGTATGTTTATCTACGGCGCGAGAGGAGAACGATCACATGAGCTCTACCGTCTTCTTTCCTATTGGCTGTCGCTCCCAAAAGTTGCTCTTCATTTGCATAAAGTTTAAGGATTCTGAACTTTGTCGCGTCGCTGGACACACCCCATTCGCTCGTGCTGCTGGAAATCGCCAGCTCTCCATTGAAATGAATGGGATTGTGTCGCTTTGCTGTTGCGTGTTGCTTGTAGTGTGAACGGGGCTTTAGGCTATAGGAATTCCGTTTTTATGACTGGATTCTACTAACCAGTCTGTGTTTTCCGCATCGCGGAAATTATAGGGCCGTATGTCTCGGCGTAATCAGTGCAATTTGGGAAAGAAATCAATTAAATCTGTATGTGGATGTGTGTAAATATTCAAATGTAATCCCCTTTGTAATCATTAACATTTTTATAAGTAACTGTAACTTAATTACACATTTTTTCTTAGTAACTGTAACTGATTACGGTTACATTTATTTTGTAATTAAATTATGTAAAGCCGTTACATGTTACTAGTTACTCCCAATTACATAAATACAACATTTATGTAGGGACAATAAACAACATTTCTCAAGAGCAATTTTTGAAGGGGACACAAATAATCCAGCTAAAATTGTACTTGTAAGGATATGTATACACAGAGGAAAGCCTTACTATTACTGCAGCAGGGAGGCCGTGATAAATCAGCTGTTGTGGTCGCACAGCGACAGAGGTCGTGTCCGTTGTAGACATTACTATCCGTCACAGTGTTGCCAAGTCCGCGGTTTTCCCGTGGAGTTGGGCTACTTTATCACTGTTGCCGCGGGTTGTTTTTCATGTTTGTCAGGATTGAAGCATCCCCAATAACGTTTATTTTAGCCCCCAGAACGCAGTTTTTACTGGGGGACCCCCTCGAAACGTGGTTAGTTTGGGCTAGTTTTGGGTAGCAATCGGCGGGTTTTGTTATGAAAACCTGGCAACCCTTTCAGTTATTATTGCTAATATAGCAACTCATCGAAAAATACATTGGCATCATCTGTATTAAAGAGAAAATAATCACTTCATCTGATGTTTAAGTGAATAAAATAGCCTTGACAGCCATGACTTTGTTCTCTCTCACCGGACTCGTGTGTGTGTGTGTGTGTGTGTAGGTGATGTAAAAGAGGAAAGCAGGCATTTGGACCAAAGCACTGTGAGGCAAGGGAGGGGGAAAGTCAAAATGTTTCTAAACTTAAAACACATTTTTGCCCCATTTGTGTTGTTTTACTGCTTACACAATTATTTAAAGTACACAACATTGTTATGTACAACACACTTTTGTCAGGATTGAAGCATCCCCAATAACGTTTATTTTAGCCCCCAGAACGCAGTTTTTACTGGGGGACCCCCTCGAAACGTGGTTAGTTTGGGCTAGTTTTGGGTAGCAATCGGCGGGTTTTGTTATGAAAACCTGGCAACCCTTTCAGTTATTATTGCTAATATAGCAACTCATCGAAAAATACATTGGCATCATCTGTATTAAAGAGAAAATAATCACTTCATCTGATGTTTAAGTGAATAAAATAGCCTTGACAGCCATGACTTTGTTCTCTCTCACCGGACTCGTGTGTGTGTGTGTGTGTAGGTGATGTAAAAGAGGAAAGCAGGCATTTGGACCAAAGCACTGTGAGGCAAGGGAGGGGGAAAGTCAAAATGTTTCTAAACTTAAAACACATTTTTGCCCCATTTGTGTTGTTTTACTGCTTACACAATTATTTAAAGTACACAACATTGTTATGTACAACACACTGTGTGGTTTTTAATCATATTTTTAGGGGGGACAACTGCTATATATATATATATATATATATAGCAGTTGTCATGATATGTCAAAGCATATAATGCAGTTCAATACATTGATGATTAAGAGATGAACCAATGAATGTTCCTCAAAAGCCTGATGTATCATATTTGATACTCACATTTTAACTTGGAAAAAAAATTATGTATGGATAATCAAGTAAACCTAAGTTGCATCAGTCCAGTAAGAGTTCATCTTGAAATGTTACTAACAATATAATTCTATTCTTATGTTTACTTTATTCAAATGTACAAGTAGATGTAGAACGTTTTTTTTTACAACAGCTTTTTCTGCAAACTTTTGATATTTTAGAGACCTTAGAAATTTCCATATCACATATGACACATATGTTTAAAGGGGTCATATGATGTTGCTAAAAAGAACATTATTTTGTGTATTTGGTGTAATGAAATGTGTTTATGCGGTTTAAGGTTAAAAACATTATTTTCCACATACTGTACATTACTGTTTCTCCTCTATGCCCCGCCTTTCTGAAACGCGTCGATTTTTCCAAAAGCTCATCGGTCTGAAAAGCAAGGTGTGCTGTGATTGGCCAGCTATCCAGTGCGTTATGATTGGCCGAATACCTCAAGTGTGTGACGGAAATGTTATGTCCCTTACCATATTGTGATGATGCCGTTAGGCCGGAGCGATGATTCAAAAACATGAAAACCCATTATAAACGAGGCATTTGTTGCATCCAGTGGGGACATAATTATGGATTATAATGACTTATACTGTCTTTTTACGCGTTGTGTTGCA